TGAGACACTGATCATTGCATCACTCTTGGCCAGAGCCCCTGAAAGGTCAACATAGCTTCTAAAGGAAAATGAAAACTCACAAGGATGCAAGTTTCAACTGATCAAACTTTTCTTAAAGCTAGATTCTATCAACACTTGAGCTCCTAGAACGGGTAAAGAAAGTGTTGGATAAGAGAAGTAATAGATGTGTTGCAGATACACAACCATGTTAGTTGGCATACAAATCTAAGCTTTCAATTTCTAGCTTGTATCCTGTACCTGTGAGCTTAACATAACACCTTTTGATAATTATCATGAACTTTCTGACCAAGTGGACAAGAGGTACTTTATTGCAATAAAGCTGATAGCACAGGTAGTTAGGGAATCATCTAACATGGGGGATGGAGTGGAATTTAAAAGCCTATGTACCAAAAGAATACATAATGGACAACTCCATGATATGAAATTTTAGTTCAGACAAAACTAATTTGCAGTGACAGAAAACAGAGTGGTAGTTTCCTGAGATTCGGAGTTGGAGGCAAGCACTGACTGCAAAGAGGCACAAGATAATATTTAGGGAGAAGGAAACACACTTTGTCTTGTTTCCTTGCTTTATAAATTTCATAAGAGCTAAAGTCTTTGAAGGCCAGTAGTTAACACAAGTGAGGCCACCCAGATGTAAGGCTATCGACGGTAGTGAAAGTAGTGGCAAACCAAAGAGGGATATTGCTCTAATAGGGTAACTACTACCCTGCATCACCCAGTTGTTGCCACGGGAGGAAATGAACATAGTCTTGAACCATATTCCGATGAAGACAAGCCAGAAATTTAAAATAAAAAGTGAAAACTCTTGCCAGAAGTTAAATTAAAAACTGTTTAAACATTTTTCCCCACCTATGGGCCACCGGCTTGTAACATCAATTTTAAAAACAAATGAAGAACCTTTCATACAGAGAATTCCCTAGAATGGCTAAGTCCATGAATCTGCTCCTGAATTCATCATTCTACTCCTTTCTTCTGCTTCATTCATTTTTACTTCTCCTAAAAACACTTTTTCACAGGAAAGACAATTGCCAAGAACTGGCATATTTTCAAGGCTTACATTTTCATCTGTTTGCCAAATGGCTGTAATATAATTCACAAAAGCCCTGTTTATTGAGTAATATTATTAATGGTTAGCATAATACTGTGGAATTGAAGACATTTCTTTTTGGATTATGTCCAGGTCTTTAAAAAGAACAAGGATTCCAATAGGAAATGAATGACTTATATTAAAACGTATTATTTCATAAAGTGGAACAACGTGAAAATCATTTGAATAAGCATATTTTCAAATTGTTATAAGACAACTTTTCTCTGACAAATAAGTCCCCACATGTATTAAAATAGTTCGAATGACAAAAGGAGAATGTCATGTCTAGAAATGCTTTTATAAAATTATTTTTTATTTTCAACACATTGAAAATACCATAAGACCAAGAAATCATTCAACCTAACAGTCTATTAACTTTTCCCCTTTGGCTGCATTTGACAAACTTTGCTAAGTAAATTATATTTGTTGATTTTTAAATTTTTGGCTAAATTCATGAATTATTAAAGTATGTTAAGGAAGAATATAACAAAAGTTTACTTTTCTATTTTTGTTTTCAAAAGGTATTTAATATTTAAATAAGAAGCATTAAAATGTATTCTCAACCTAAATTATAGTTAACTATTTGACTAGTTTATAAGCCAACAGTCACCACCTGAGACCAAATCTGAGAAATCCCAACTTGTCTTCTGAAACCAATCATGAGACTTCCTTCATTTAATGGCTTTATTTTTAAGGGGAAGCATGAAATCATCCAGGAATCATAAAATATCAAACATTTAATTGTGAGCAATTAAAGACAGATAAAGAAAAAAATAAGACAGGACATCAAAAGGAAGTGAGAGAGAAAGTGAGACAAAGACTAAGACAATGGACCAGGCACAGTGGCTCAGGCCTATAATCTTGGCACTCTGGGAGGCTGGGAGGCCCATCTCTACTAAAAATACGAAAAAAATTAGCGGGGCATGGTGGTGCACACCTGTAGTCCTAGCTACTCAGGTCACTGAGGAAGGAAGATTGCTTGAGCCCAGGAGTTTGAGGTTTCTGTGAGCTAGGCTGACGCCATGGCACACTAGCCCAGGCAACAGAGAGAGACTCTGTCTCAAAAACAAATAAAAAAATAAAAAACAAACAAAAAAATATAATAAAAAAAGACTAAGACAGACTGACTAATCAACATAAAGCAAAAGAAGGTCAAAAAACATGTTATAAGAAAATATTACTCAAAATGCAGCTTGCAAGCACTAGAAACATTCAGTTAAAGTGCCCTATTAAATTCATTCCTAAACATTTTTTAATTGGGTTATTAGTGAGTTTGGGAGGAAAGGAAAGGTTATTGAAAGCAATCACTGATTACAGAGAAGAAGTGTCAATCTTATGGGATCAAAAGAAGAACTTAGGAAAAATAAATGTTACTTTAACTTTAAAATCTAGAATAAATCAAATTGGCAAAAATTTAAACACACAATGATGGCTCAATAAAGAGTGAATCAATCAAGTTAATCCAACTAATTTCATTTCTGTGACAATATAAGCCATACAATAGAACATATTAAAATCAGTCTTTAAGATTTTTTTCTCATGATATACTCATCAAATCAAATTCAAAGACTTCAAACACTAGAAATCCAAAAAAATATAAATGATTTCTTTTTAAAAATAATTATTGATTAGTGGTGAAAACTAAATGTATAAAATAAAAGACCAACAATATAAAGCAGTTATCTGGAAAAATAAATTCAAAAGAATATCTAAATTAGAACATGAAAGCTTTGGTTTGAGCACACAGAAAAAGAAAGGAGGCCAAATCAAAGACTCTGAGTTGAAATGAGGAACAGGGCTACACCAAAAATGTGCTAGAGGAAGTCTACATTTTAGATAATATTCTTGCCACTGAACTATACACATTAATGTTACAACTAAAAGCAAATTAGATTAAGAATCAGAAGTCAGAGATGGAGTTCCCCTAAACCTTGACACATGTCCCTTTAAAAATCAAGATGTTCTATAATATGATAAAACAAATTCACAGAGAAGTGATGTGACTAACTGAAGCACAAGTACAGGGCATGGTCTAGGTTCACAGATCACACGTAAGTCTTTGAGACAATGCTATTATCTTAAAAGCTAAAATATACCAATGTACAAGCCCACATTTATGTAACAAAATGATAGAAACATAACCATTCCATACTCTTGTTAGGAAAGAATTGCTTTTTAGAATGACAGCAATTATATAATGTAGTTCACTGTATTTGCAACTTTAATTTAAATAGATATGGTCAAATTATTCTCCAAAAATATATCAACTGGCAGTCCCATCAATGTTGTATGAAAGTTATATTCTCACATGTCCTAAATATTATCAATCTTTAAACTTTTTACTAATTTGAGAAATTAAAAACAATACTTGAATCTGATTAATACTGAGTTTGGGTAACATTTCATGTATTTACTGAATATCATCATTTCTTCCATTGTAAATTGCTTGTTCATATATTTGCTCTTTTTTATTAAGTTGTTTCATTTTTCTTAATATTTTATTAGTGCTCCTTGTGTATGAGAGATCTCTTTACCTGTTAATCTGATGTAAATATTTTCTATCAATGCATCACTGTCACTACACAGTAGTTGTGTTAGTCCTTACACTGTACAGAATTTTAAATATTTATATGACAGAATATTTCATTAATTTCCTTCATGGCTCCAGACATGTTTGCTTCTGTTTGTATTTCATTTGTTTAACTTACAAAGGCCCTCAACATTAGATTTAGGAAATATTCTTCTAATCTTTATTTTAATAGATTTATAGTTATTTTTACATTTAAATGTTGACGCCACATAAATTTTTGTACATGCCATAACGTAGGGCTCTCACTTAATTTTCTTACAAATTGACAGCTAATTGTCTCAAACATCATTTACTTAAGACTCCATATTATCTACTTTCATTATTGGTATTGTTACTGCTGCTGAACCTTCTCTCATATCAGCTGTTGCCAAGATTGTTGCTAGATATTTCTGCCAACAAATATCTCTTAATTTTTTTTCCATTTACCTCTTATGCCTAAAGATCCAGCTAAATTTTCACCTCAACTATGAAATTCTCCCTGACCATCATAGACAAGCTGAAGTAACATAATTCCTAAGTAATTTTATTATAGATTTTCAAATTAATTACTTATAATTCCTTATATCAGCAATAAATTGATCTTGACTGACATAAATACATAAAAATAGCCCTACATCTAAAGACTCTTTTTTGGGATAGACACCTCTGTATAAATACCCTTTAAATGCAGAAATAAAACCATTTTTTTAATTTAGTGTCAGGTATCAAAATGCCTCAAAAATTCTTTTATAAAATATGAAGACCGGGCACAGTGGCTCATGCCCGTAATCCTAGCACTTTGGGAGACTGAGGCAGAAGAATTGCTTCAAGCCAGGAGTTCGAGACCAGCCTGAGCAACACAGCTAGACCCTGTCTCTACAAAAAACTTAAAATATTAGACAGATATGCTGGACGTGCCTATAGTCCCAGCTACTCACGAGGCCTGTTGGAGGTTGCAGTGAGCTGTGATGATGCCACTGCACTCAAGCCTGGGCAACAGAATGAGACTCTGTCTCAAAAAAAAAAATAAAAAATAATGCTGATGAAACAAAGAAACAGAAAAGGAAAGGAAAACCTTGGATGTGTATAATTTCTCTGATTGAGATTGTTGTTTAGAAACACAATTTTCAACCTATTAATGGCTGTTATTGTTCTCTACAAAAACTCTCTGGAATAACTGACATTTTAGGTTCATATCAATTTCTTTTTATAATAAATCAAAGAAGTTAGACCAGGAGTTAGACCAAAATTCAGTTCATAGAATTTATAGTCACCACCCCTACTTTTCTTTTAGATTTCCATGCATAAACTAGAACTCACATGAAGTCCTTCAGTGAAGCTTTCCTGAGAGCAGAGGCATCGGTATGGCCGGCTTGTCGTGTCACAATTATCGGCATGACCATGGCACTGACATCTGCAAATGTGAGCATTGCACACTCCTAAGACACACCAACTCAACAGTGAATATATTAATATTTAAGCCCCTATGAATATATACATTGTGTGAATCCAACAAGGAAGACAGTATGTTTAATCAACACAAAAATCAATTTCTCTTTAATCATGTGAATATTCACAAAAGTTTTGAATTAATCCTGAAGTACTGGAAGGACCATCATCACCATCCAAACCATACTGCGTTGTAAAGGTAATTTTCAAACCACCCTGAAAAGGGGGATGGCATTTTCTACGCTTATACCTACATTTACCAAGGGAAGGCATTTACAGGAACTATTTTAAATACACTTAAGAATTTAAAGTTCAGAATAAACTGCAGAATGAAGTTAACGAATTTCAATTTTGGGGGTTTTTTCCAAAGTTAAATGGTAAATATTTAATAGTATTACTTTTTTCATTATGCTATTACTTAACGAACAAACAATGCTTACATATTGGCATTCTGGTCTGTTTTTAAAGATATACTTTATTCACAAGGCATATCATTCCTCTAGAACAACCCATTCTAAATATAATCTATAAGCACATTTCTATATTAGATAGTATGCTGCTTAGTTTTGCAGCTATCGATTTTTTAAAAAATTGTAATATTTTTAAAATATTGTAAGTCACATTCTCAATTGTGATCAGACATTTATAAATTACTTAGGACGCATCAGATCTTTTCTCTAAAGGAAAACAAATATTCCCCATGGAACTATGAGCTGTGATCTCAGGTAGTTCAAGCCCCATACTTAAAAAACTCTGTGGCACCCGAGGCGGGCGGATTGTTTGAGCTCAGGAGTTCGAAACCAGCCTGAGCAAGAGCGAGAACCCGTCTCTACTAAAAATATAAAGAAATTAATCGGACAACTAAAAATATATAGAAAAAATTAGCCGGGCATGGTGGCACATGCCTGTAGTCCCAGCTACTCGGGAAGCTGAGGCAGGAGGATCGCTTGAGCCCAGGAGTTTGAGGTTGCTATGAGCTAGGCTGATGCCACGGCACTCTAGCCTGGGCAACACAGTGAGACTCTGTCCCCCAAAAAAAAGAAAAACTCTGTGGCACTACAATTACAGCTCCAAATCCAGCTCTTTCTCTTTGCTTCCAAGAATGTTTGAAAATTATATTCTAGAACAAACCAAGTAGACTACTTAATAAATTATTTCTAAGTCAGATTCACAGTATCATAACTTTTAAACCCAATAACTTTTGAAAATTGATTCCATAACAATGTTATCGAATTTACAGAATTCTATTTACAGAAAAGACTCACCAATCTCCCAAAAAAATCTTAAGAGTAGGAAGTCATTGCAAAAGGTGAAGCTTGGAATTTGGATTGCTCTAAAATCTAAGTTATCGTATTTTCAAATAAGTATGACAAAAACCTTGTTGAAAACAAAATTTACTAGAGAGTATTTCTGCCATGTGATCAACCTAGTGTTGATCAGTTAGTACCAATTTGATGGTGACTCTCTAGGGATTAGTGGGATGAGGGGGCAAATCTACAACTAAAGGACACAGGGAGCACTAAAGGGAGGGAAGGGCATGCCTTTAACCCGCATTTGGGTGAGGCAAAGACATAAAGTGTAACTACAGTGTTTGTACCCTCACAAAACCCTAGAATAATAAAAAAAAAAAAAAAAAAAGAAAGAAAACAAAATTTACAATGAAAATCACACTACAATCAAAACCTTGGTAATGAACACTACCTCCCACTAATGGTGATTTCATCCACCGCGTAATATCTGTGTCTGAGGTTGACAGCAGTCTCAGTTGTATAGTATTGTCCACGGAAATGAAACCTTATTTTTGTGGCTTTTACAAACTCCTGAAGAGATGGGGAATTATAGAAGTCATTGTATCCAGGTCGAAAATTTGGTCCAGGTGTCAGGATGCTAAATGTGACATTGCGACGGGAATACGGAGTAAAACTGTTGGGGAAAGAAATTTGATATCATGAAAATCTATTCATATTTTTGACAAAGTTATGAGAAATTATACTATATATTATCAGTAAGAGCTTAAATTCTTTATTCTTGGAAAACAAACATATTCTGTATATTTCATATGCAAACAATACAGGATTATCACAGAAAGCCTAAACATTCCTACTAAAACATTCCTTGAGAACATAATGAAAACTCTATTAATATAGATAACTTACTAAACAATCTGAAAATCAGATTGCAAAACACCAGTGAGATTATAAATACGAGTTACTCTAAAGTCTTTTACAAGAACTTTAAACATAGTTTAAAACCCAATTTAGGGAGGAGACTTAAGAGAATATGCCTCGGCTTTAAGAAACAAGGGTGACATAGCACCTCTTGTATACTCCTGGAGAGAACTGGAACGCATTCTACTAAGTATCCCAAAAATGGAACAACGAGCACCACATGTACTCACCATCAAATTGGTATTAACTGATCAACACATAAGCGCACATATAAGAATAACATCTATTGGATGTCGGGCAGGGGGGAGGGGGAAGGGGAGAGGAGGGGACGGGTATATGCATACACAAAGAGTGCAATGCGCACCATCCGAGGGATGGACACACTTGAAACTTGGACTTGTGGGGGGGGGGGCCCAAGGGCAACATACATAACCTAAACATCTGTATCCCCCGTAATATGCTGAAATAAAAAAAAAGAAAGAGAATATGCCTCAAGAAAGTTGGTAAAAGAGGGAAGTCTCTACCAGCCTAGTGAGTTAGCTTACTTGTAGGTTATTACTAACTCAACAGTCTATTATAATTAATTATTTAAAAGGTATCCATACTTGGAAAGCTGAAGACAGTTGACAGAATCAGGATTTTCCAAATTTCCATTGTTCTTCATTCCAAAAGCACTGCAATTTCTAGCAAAATATTGCCAGTCCTCCCAATCGGAACCATCCCCTGTCTTCCTTTGAATCCTTATTTCTGTTGGTTGTAGACTAAAGAACTGAATGATAATGTAAAACACCTGAAAAATGAATGTTAATTATTGTAATCGAAGTTTTAAGTTTGACCCATCAGTATAAATCAAATCATGGAATTGTTAGATTCAAATATAATGGATTACTTCCTCATAATTACAATTATCAAATATTTATTGGACATCCAGAAACTTCATAGTCCTGTAGAAAAAGTAATATATTCTATAATTGTATATCCATCCCTCTTCTAAAGGATTTTATAAATCAAAGTGCAAATTAATATTGCTTGATATAAAGACGTGAACAAAAAGCATTACTTCCATGAAATAAATGTCATATATGTTCTTCTTAAGTAGTCATTTAGAAAAAGCACCTCAGGTTTGATTAATTTGTGCTACTTAATAAAAAGAATATTTCCACATTTCATAAATATCATTTTAATATAAATCTCTAAAAAATAAGGCCCTGCATATTGTCTATAAGATATCTTTATTTCATGTATTATAATACACTGCTTTCGTGAGATAATGTTCAATTGCCTAGTTCAGCTTTCACCTTGCAGTGAGGTTGAATTGTGTCCCTCCCATAGATATGGCCAAGTACTAACTCTCAACACCTGTGAATGTGACCTTATTTGAAAATAGGATCTTTGCAAATATAATTAAGGATGTTAAAATGAGGTCATCTTGGATTTAGGGTGGGCCTTATAAGAGAAAGAAGAGGGAGAATCGATGCTCACAGAGAAGCAGGGAAAGAGGCCACGTGAACATGAAGGCAGAGATTGAAGTTATCCTGCCAAGAGCCTAGTAACACCAAGAGCCACCAGAAGCTAGAAGCAGGAAGGTAGGATCCTCCTCTGAAGCCTCTGGAGGGAGAATAGTCCTGCCAACACACCTATTTTGTATTTTTGGCATTCAGATGTATTCTGCAAGAGAATACATTTCTATTGTTTTAAGACATGAAGTTTGTGGTGATTTGTTGCAGCAGCCACGGGAAATTCATGCACACCCCATTGTTTGTAATTACCTGATACTGTCCATTTTCCAAATCTACTGAAATAGTCACTCCTTGATTAAGCTGGGTAATGTTTGTAAACACATTTGAAACCCAGGCAGTACTGATGTCGTTATCATTGACAAAAGAGAGAGGATGGGCTTCGGGATTCAACCGCGACACTCTGTTATCGGTTGTGTCTTCTGCGTCATTAGCAATGCAGTATCGCTGTCCCAAAGGATGGACCCGAGGGTGGCTGCCAGGGCAGCGGCAGTGTGACTGGATATGCAATCTAAGCAGGTCTCCGGAAAAAACTTCCAGAATCTCTCTGCGGGAGTCAGAGGGAGACCGTGAGAACAAATAGGTTTACAGTAATAGAACCTCTAACAGTTGTTACAAATGAATATCACTCTTTTAGTGCTTTGATGAGTATCCATTTAAGTTTAATAATTTTCTAAATGGTACATAAAATAAAACTCATTCCTGGCCAAATAAACATACTCATTCTCACAAAATGAATATCAAAATCAGTACATTTTCAGTGTTAACTTTTTACCTCAAGAAGCATGCACAAGCCCTTGTCTGATTATCAAGATATGATATTTAAATATCAGAATGTGCTACTTTGTCTATTTGTGATAATATAAAAAAGTAACATTTATTTAGGTTGTTAAACTCACTCACCACTGAGAATGAACAATAATATATTGAGAATAGTAAGAGTTATAGATAAGGTCTCTGGTTCATCCGTGGGAAAGCAAGCATCATTTTATCTGCTTCTGTTTTAGGCGAAGGGACTGAGGCCAAGGCCATTTGCCAATGGTTTCCTGTGACTCATCAGTACAGATCCTGGCATCCTATAGTGCTTCAATGGCTTCAGATCATATGGCAGCTGCCAACAGTCAAAGAAGAATGCCAGTTCCAGGTAGATATATTTAATTTTTCCATTAAGGGCAATATACTTGTTCTAGACCAGAATTAGTCATTCTATTTATAGGCATTCTTCCACATAACACCTTCCCAGACATTTCAAGTAGGCCAGCAGCAGTAACTGAGCTCTAACTGGAGAGACCAGGCTTCTTCACTCAGTCCCCAGTGGTACAAAGTCAGGCAGCTTCTCCATTCACTACATCACGTGAACTGACACCTTCTTCTTTAAATCTCATTGATATTTTTAAACTGATATTAGGTTTTGAATGGGTCCAAAAGCTGGTATCCAGTATAGAATCTTTGCCCCCAAGGAAAAACTTTATTCCCAAAGAATTACTGCAACATTGCTCTTCAGCATTTTAGACAAAGCTGATGTAAAAGGTAGTAAGGCTAATGGCAGAAAATCTCCCTGACAATATGTTCCAGTGCAACCACACCCTTTAATAACGCATCTCTTAATTATATAGACTAATAGAGAAGAATGTTTATATTGCTAACGGATCTGGCACCGATCGAGCACCACTCTCAACGGCAATGCTTCGCAAACTTACAAGAGCTGGTTTTGTTGTTTGGAAATTCACCACTAATCTACATCACCCTTGGAGAAATATAAACAAACATTCTTCTTTTTGCTCTTTGATGAAGTAAATAAGATCAACTCATCCATACAACAATATATTATTATATCATCAGATCATAAGTTGGGGAAGAAAAGCTCAGAGGCCATCCTAAGCTGAATTTTACTTGTACTTTTCTGAATAAAGTGGAAGTCTATGTGCTTTTAAGAAGCCCTAAGAAAAATTTCTCACCTATTCTCGAGATGAGAAAATACTTCATTAAAACTAGCCTAAGTCTATATAATTATTTGTTCACTGGAAACAGAAAAATACATCACAATACTTCAAATACTCATTCTTCTTGTCTCCAAGTCTAATAGCCCAGTCTCGTGAGAATTTCCCATATATCAAAATAATTAATCATTTTCATTGTTCTATATTCTCTAGCAGTTATAAATTCAACAAAGCAATTTTTAAAAGGCAGTAGCAGTTTCTTAAGTATTAGAAACTACTTCGCATAGAATCTTTAAAAAATTGTATCCCAAATTCTATAAACCATTCAAAAATCAAGTTTTCTGAGAGAAAAATCTACTGTAAAGAATTTGATCAATTTCATATTATAAGGAGTTACCTGATCGAGTAGCATTAGTGAATAACAGCCACAGACTATGCCAAAGCAAACACTGCAAACATTAATTAGGGGATGTTTGCCAAATGCTGTAAAGATGAAAAATGTTATAATCTTCACGGTATTCTTATTTAAGTGAATTCAGCAGTTATCCTTATGTTTCTTGAAGTTTACAGTACAACATCTGCTTACCTGTTTGTAAGAGCCACTTGGTATAATCGAAAATCTTGCATTCTTCCAACAAACTGCTCTAAACCTGCAAAATACATATAGATACATAAGAAGTCTCAGTTTACCAAGAAATTGCTGACAAACATCTTAGTGATATTACCTTTGGAGCTATGAAGCTTTAAAGTATATTCATGTCACTGCCCTTTCAAATTCTTACAGATCAATCAACATTTTGCTAATTCCACAACTAAAAATTATAATCATGGTTATTGCCATAGCCATTGCAGGATTTAAAGTACACACTTTGGCCAGTTTATTTATCTCCCTAACTCATGGCTTTCTCCAGAAGTCCCTTCCCAAACCAAAATTTCTCTCTAGTTCATAAACCTATAAATCTTTTATCTCATCAGTACTAAATTTGATTGTCATCTGCTTCCAGTTGCAATTTCCAGAGTATTTGCCAAGAGGAACATTTCTTACTCTCATACCCTACCTGTTCTAGCTCCATGCTCCAGAATATCTGCTTGGGTCCTCTCTAAACTTAGATTAATGCCTGCTCTAGAAAATCTTCAATAAATGAGGATTAATTGAAGACCACCTCCTCAAGGGTTCTGAGTTATTCACATACACCAATAATATTCTAGTTCACTTTCAAAATTTTATCACCTCGTGAGAATTCTTCTAAGATAACCAGGTTCAAAGACCAATCTACACTGAATTAGGTGACCTTTTAAGGCATTTGTGGATATCAACCTTAATCCACATGGTATTATTGTATTTATTTGCTTAGTAAATATTTAGTAAGAACTTGCCAAGTCAGATAAAACCAAGAGAGTGGGAACAGAAAAAAATTTAAGATTTTTGTTATGTTTTTAATGAAGAAAAATACTTGATAAAAAGTAAAACTCTAGCGGGACTTGGGATTGTGGGGACACAGAAGGGGATGGGCTATAATATATAATGCCAATTCAGTAATTAAGTGCTTTTTAATTAAAATTGGATCAATGCCTAATTCATCAAATGACCATTTCCCCAATGTGTTTGTTCTTTTAACTATTCAGTTTTGACTCTGTCTTGATAAAATTTTAGAGAATGTTAGATTTATGTTTGCCACTGCTCCTTGGTGGTGCCTTGGAGGACACTGGGGTAGATGGAGGATCTGTCTGATGAATGAAAGATGGAGAGTAGAATTAGCACACAGGATCGGCTGAGATGGAGATCTCAGAAGCAGGAGGACACTAATGAGCAAAGAATGGTGAGACTTAGGAGCATATAAAGGGTATGTGTCTGTATGTGTGTAGATGCATATGTACGTATATATTCATATTATATTTTTACACTTATATTAAAGAATATATTTAAGAAAACCAAGAATATTTTATATATATTTATTTATGAGTGTAAATATTTTCAATTGATACATTCTAATAAAAATACATTTATAGGCTCTCCCATGCTGCCCCTCAGTCTCAGTCTTCCACACACCCCACAAGCTGAGACCCACAGGAAAATGGTGCTCTGTGGAGCCTCCTGCTCTGACTTTCCTGTAGGTGGTGTTCGTCTGCCCTATCAGTCCAAAAACAGGCAACTGGTACAAGCACAAATAATTATTCCTTCAAGTGATGTTATGAAGATAACAAAACAAAATCTACAAAAACTTTGTAGAAATCTTTAGAAAATTTCCAACATGCATTGCTTTGAAAATGATAATGAGTCAAAACAAATAACATAACCTGCTAAACTGTGCATTCAGTAAAGTGGCCATCTGGGCAACTTGCTTTATAGTCAATTGACCTGGATTCAAGATCAAAGCAAGGACAGGTATAAGGAAGGACATACTGTTTTTAGAGATAGGAGGAAAGAGGGAAGAATACATGTGAATACAGCAAAGTCAAAGTCGTTGTGTGCTTGTGTGCTTTTATTTGTGGGCCAGGGAAGACAAACTGAGGAGAATCACTCCTCATGATATGAATTTTCTGTGTGAGGTAAGAGGGAATGCTGTCTGCCTGGAACAAAGGAAGCTGGATCTGCCTCCTGTTGATTCTTCACCTTCACCTGTCCCACCCACACCTGGTTCCTTCTCCTCCTAGCTTGCTTTTAACACCCCATGTTGCAGCTATACAGCCTGAATTTTTAATGCCCCACAACTGTCAAGCTCTCTTAGTCCTAAGGTTTCAATTTAGCCTCTGCTTCAAATGTTCCTGCCTCAGCCCAGCCCTTAATGTCTCAGCTTTGAAATATTTCCTGTGGGAAACCTTCTATAGCCCACTATGGTTCTCTGCGCTCCCATAGCACTGTGCACTTCTAATTCTTTGAGAAGCCACCCAGTCTGCAGTACTTGGAGCTTACATTCAAGCAGATAGATAAACATAATAAATGAGTCATTTATACAGAATATTAGAACATAATGAATGCTATGAAAAGGAGAACAAGTAGAGCAGGTTGTAGAGCATGGGTGGATTTTACTGGGGATGTTACGTTCAAGAGAGGCCTCATTGAAAACTGTAGCGTTGACAGAGGAACAGGAGTGAATCATGCATATATCTAGGGGCAGTGTTTAAGGCAGGCATTAATGAGTACACAGACCCCTAAAGCATCATGACTGGCATGTGAGAGAAGGTGCAAGAAACCAGGATCCTGAAGCGGAACAAGAGAGGGGGAGGCTATTTGAAGATTAGGTCAGATGAGCAAGTGGTTGGGTTGAGGGGTGGGGTGGACGTGTAAATTGTTAAAAACCTTATAGCCTATTGAAAGGAATTAGGTTTTTATTCTAAGTAAAACGGGAAGCTACTGGAGGGTTTTGAGTAGGGAGCAACATGATCTCAGGTTTATTCAAAAATTCTGAGAGGAGAATGTAAGGGGACAAGGGCAGAAGCTGAAAGGCCAGTTAGGAGGTTATTACAGTCATCCAGGTGAAAAATGAGGGTAGTCAGACCAGGGTGTTAGGAGTGGAGGTGTACCTTTCAATGCTGATAAATTGGAATTCACTTCCTATATTTTAATAATAGTTAAAGGGAAGCTCTGCTGCAGAGGGATAATGAAATCTATTTTATCATCTATAAAATAAAGGGGTTGGGTTTTATAACCTTTAAAAAACCATTTTAGTTTTAAATTTTGGAGTCTGCAATCATATTCCCTGCCACAGAATTCATATTTGAAAGAATTTTTTTAAAAAACAGAGAAAGTTTTCTAAAGACCTAGAGGTAATGTGAATCATCCATTCCAAATAAGAGAATTATGATTTGGGGGTGAGAATGCTATAAAATATTTCAAGGACATTCATTGGGATGGATTTTACTCATTCCTTTGCTGGTTGCCAATTTTTAAAGAACAGATATTCATTGCAACAAACATTCCATAGAAAGGCTTTTCTTTGAAAAATATTCATATGGCAAAAATAGACCTAAATTATATAAATTGATCAGGGAAATAGACATGACTCATACAAGAAAGACCTCATAGTTGTCTAGTCAGAAAATAGGTAATGACTAGAAAGGAGCAGTTCTGCATTACAACTGGGTGGCAACGCAAAATCAGTTAAATGGGGAAACTGTGAGTAAGTAATCTAATATATAAATCAGGGTAAAAACAGATTTGCAATAAGGATAAATAAATGTCACACCAATCAGAAAAGAAGAAATAGAACTGCCTCTATTTGCAGATAGCATGATTGTCTATGTAGAAAATTTCAGTGAATCTACACAAAAGCTATTAGAAATAAATGAATTTAGCAATTTTATATGGCAGAAATTCAATATGTTAAAATCTATTCGAACTTTCTATATACTAGCAATGAATCAATAGAAGTTAAAAATTTTAATTATCATTTATATTGGCACTCAAAACATGAAACACTAGTTATAAATCTAACAAAGCACAGCAGTGTCTATAGGTAAAAACTACAAGACATGGATGAAACAAATAACAGGATAACATCAAGAATAGCAGAGTAAAACAACTGAAAAGTCACTCTGCCATAAAAGCCTGGAGAACACTAGCAAAGAGTGTCAAATTAACTTTTTTTGGAACTCTGGAAATAAACCAAAGACTTGCAACAATGTAGGAAGTGTTTATTTTTTAAATGTCTTTATATTGGTACGAACAGCATGGTCTGTGGCATTTTAACTTTCCTCATTCCCATCCTTCTCTCTGTCACTTAATTGCAGCCTTGAAAATGAACAGTCTACAATCAGAGTGAAAATCAGCAGCCTGGCAGCCACTGGAAGGATCAGAATGGGATTGGGGCTCTGCAAAGACCCATCCTCAGATAATTGTCATTATTTGATCTGGCAGTAGCTTAGAAAACTCCAATAGAAAGACTTAAAATGACTCAGAGTTCACCAGTTTGAAACAGCCTCTACCATGTATTTGTTGAAAACAATCAGTGGTAACTGCTTAATATTGCAGATGCCAAAGGCAACGATAACTGTTGGAGGAAACAACCAAGAAAGACACTTAAAAGGAGAAGATGGGGAATGGCATGTCCATAGAGGGCTTTGCAAAGCTCTGAAATATGCCTGGGAATCCACAAGGCTATTCACATGCAAAGGGCTATGTGCATGTCCAGGCATATGCACATGCTGAAGAAAGACCTGAGAGGGACCTAGACTCCCACCTTAGCCTCACCTTGAGGCTCTGCACAAGCAGAAATATGTGATTGAAGAAGAGTGCTAAACTGCCCGAGTGTTGAAGGCAGGCTTCAACATGCACACACACCCTTCAGCAAAGAACTGAAAAATTTATTCATTCTAGGGATTTAAGAAATTATCTATTCAACCACTGGCTGACTACTAAGCTAAGCAAACACAGTCTTCACTGACCATATATGACAAAGAAACAGACTGTACAGAATTAGTTCAGGAAAATCACTAAACAAGCAAACTGCAATAACAGTAACAAATAACAATGACAGCAAACTCTGGGAAGGGAAAGAATCTGTTTTCCAAATTTCCTATGTTATATACTTAATATGTCTGGTTTCAACAAAAAATTTTGACATATGCAAAGAAACTCCTATAAACAATATACAACAGAGGACAAATGGGCAATAGAAACTGAGCCAATTGTAAGCCTATACATTTAACT